CGTGACCCCTCCTCCCAGCCTGAGATGACCCAACCCAGAAGAGAAGGTCCATTTTTAGTTTTAGAGTATATATGGGAGACAGTACTCAGTATTCAGTTAGCTTTGATAAAGAAGGGACCCCCTTCGAAATGCGTCAGCTGTATCCTGAGTGTCTACCCCTATGATGGGACTCACGCAGGCTCTACTATTCTAAAGTTCCCTTGAGGACTTACATGCTTGATCTGCTCCGCTGTTTGTATCATTCTGTATTCAATAAATTGTCTGACTGGATCCAGACAGGGTGCCCCAGAAGATGCTCTGTCCACTGCTCCAGGCAGAGCCGGATTGCCCGAAGTTCCAGGACACTGATTGATAACCGAGACTCCTCTGGCATCCAAGCGACCCTGGGCCAAGCTCGCTCCTAGCACTCCACCCCAGCTGGAGAGCCTGGTATCCATTGTGATCACCATCCAATCCTGGTCTTTTGACCCAGACAAATCTGGGAGTCCAAGGAGTCGGGGGGAATTGTTCCACTTGGACAGGATTTCCTTCTGAAGGGTCCTTGTATGGGACTGAGCGTAAAGAACTGCCTCAAAGGCAGATACCATCAGTTCCAGGACCTGCATGCAACAGCAAAGGGAGAACCAACTGTGGGACAGCAAGCAGCCAAACCACTGACTGAGGCATCCGGACTTTGTCCAGCAGAAGAAGCACCTTGGCCAATGCCGTATCCAGAACCATGCCCAGATAATCCAGCTACCTGGTTGGAATTAGAGTGGGTTTCTGTAAATTCAAGATCCACCCAAACTCTTGCAAGATGCTGATCATGATAACCATGTCATCCTCAAAAGCTGAGAGAGACTCAGGGTGTCAGGATGACCTGCTCTCAGAAGCAGGTCATCCAGACACCCAATCACAGCTATCCCCCCATTGTCTCAGCAAAGCTAGAACCCAAGGAGCGGAGGCAAGACCAAAAGGGTAGCGCCACAATGCTCCTCTCCCAGCACGAAACCAAGGAAGCACGGGTGCCTGGCAAAAGATGGAGATGTGCAGGTAGGCATCCTTGATGTCCATTGATGCCAGGAAAACCCCTTGGTGAAGGGAGGCCACCACGGACCGAACGGACTCCATAAGGAACTTTTGCACTTGCGTGAAGCAGTTCAAGACCTTGAGATCAAGGATCAGGTGAAACTGTCCTTCCTTTTTTCGTAACCATAAACAGGTTGGAATAGAACCACTGAAAAACTGGGACAATTACCCCTTGACACAGTAAGTACTGCACAGCTCCATACAACGCTTGCAGGCGAGCAAGAGAGAGATGCACGTTGGAGGAAAAAAAAAACCTCTCTGGAGGATAGGATTAAAATTCTATTTTATCCCCAGATGGGATCAACTCGTTGACCCACTTGTCAAAAATCAGGGAGGTCCGCAGGGCCGCAAACCAGAGCAGATGACACCCCACCCTGGACATGGGTGGGGGGGGGGGGCACCTTCATGCCGAGGAGGGCTTATCTGCGGACTTGACAGGCTTGGAAGTCCAGGGGCGCTTGGTAACTCCTGCAGGGGCCTTGAAAGGCTTGAAACTCTTGTCTGCAGATCCAGTGGGATGAAAAAGCAAACCATAGGGGACAGACACATCTGCAATCACCCCAGAGGAAACCTCCATCTTTAGAGTTTCTCCCACTGATGTGATGTGTCAACCAGCGCCTTTTCAGCAGAGGACTAAACCTCACTATCGGAAGAGTCGGGGATCTCAGGAGCCGGACCTGCGAGTAGGACCACATCTGCAGTGGCAGAGCCACTGGCCAAAGGAGGGGGCAGGGATCGCTTCTTGCTCACCTTACGCCCCATTGCCACCTCCATCCAGGAAACAAATAACTCCAGGACTGCTGTCAGCATGTCAATGGGCACAGAGGACCCCAAGGGACCTGCCACCTCAAGGAAAGGATCAGGTAAGGAGACTTGATCCTGAGACTCCATCTCCAAAACGGACCCACAGGGAAGGCTCTGCCAGGGAAGCCCACTAGTTGCAAGGGAACCCCCCCAAGGACGCCGCACACCAAGCCAGCAGAGAGGAGAAATACCCCACCAGGACTCACCACACCAGGCAAAAGCAGAGAGGCCAGCAGTCCCACAGCAGGAAAGGCAGACTGAAGAGTAACATGGAGCACACACCACGGTCATGAAGCCCAGAAACAGCTCTTCCAATGAACAGAAGAGGTCAGAGGGAGCTGGGAGACCATCACGCAGCTACAAGAAAATGGCCCGCCATATTCCCACCCTCCAAAGCCCTGTGAACAACAGAGCCAGACACCAAAACAAAATGGCTGCTGCTGGCCTCACAGCGCAGCTGTTAGAGGAGGAACCAGTGCCAGACCCCAAAGACATGGTCGCAGTAGCCAGCCTCCCAAAGCCCAGGCACAGCAAGCCCATAGAAATACACAGGAGTGCTGCCAGGCTACAAAAAAATTGCCACAAGAACATAGCAAAAAACAACATAGGGAAAATAGCCAGAAGAAAAAACAACTGAAAAAAAGCCGGCCAAGCCCCGGAGGGGCTGCAAGGCAGCAGCAAGCAATGTCTCAACCCCCACAAAGACAAACAGGCCCAGCCACCAGCGCAGGAAGAGGACAAATGAGGCCTGCAATCCAGCAAAAAAACCGAGACAGCCCATAGAGCATGGGGGGGGGGGGGGAACAGCCAGTGCAGATAAGGGGTCAGGCAGGGAGGTGGGGAACCCCGCAGGGCCAATTATCCCAAGAGGAGTACCCGCGCCCCGCACTAAACCTGGAAGGAAAGAAGGGGGCAGGAGATCTACTTACCAGTCCATGGAAGTTGCGGATACACTCCATAGACAGAACCACCTGTCCACCGAAGTGGGGGGCTGTCGGCCAGAAAAAACACTGACGCGATTGTCCAGAGCCCGGTCACATGCGCCCCCGCGAGGCATTTAACTTGCCAGCTGCCCCAGTCCAAATAGCGCTTTGCCGCGGCCTACCCAATGTATAGCTAGGGTCCTCGCATGCTCGCTGGCCAGGCTGGGGTGACCAGTGGAATCTATATTATCCAGCCCGTCACCTAACCCAGTTATTGATAGAAGATCACACAGGAAAAAAGAAAAAAAGCTATGAAACCACAGGTCCTAGCAATACTGACACTAGGCAGAAAGAATTGGATTGCAGAGAGGGGGGTGTTAGGAATGGACTGGCCAGCAATGGTGGGACTCACCTGCCTTTTGATCTGCAGTACCAGGGCTGGCCAGCGGGTGCTCCCAGCAATCAGAGACTCAACCTTTCAGCCAGCTAACACCTGGAACTGATGATGCTGGGGTATTTAAGGGATGGCCAGACCCACAGACTCGGCCTTGGTGTTGTGTTTGTCCTGGGCCCTGTATCTGTCCTGCATCCTGTTTCTGTCCCTCTGCCTGACCCTCTGTACTACGCTGCTTGTTACCTGTTTTGATCTCTGGCTTGTGACCCTGACCATCCCTCTGCCTGACCCTCTGTACTACGCTGCTTGCTACCTGCTGAACCTGGCCTGTGACCCCGACCATTCTCTGCTTGCTCCCCCTGTACCTACCTGCCCAATTGATATTGACCTGGCCTGCCTGACGACGCTTGCTTGTATGTACTGTTATCTGTGGGTGGTTTGGTTTGGTTTGTTTTTTTGTATTATGTTTAGTATTGCACTGCGTTTATGTTTGTATGGTTAGTGTTAATAAATTGTATTGTTTATCACAGATCTGAAGTCTGCGTTTCCCTGCATCAGTCACACACCTCTGGTCATACCTGGGAGCCCTGACATTACACCAAGGCCAATCCTGACCAGAAGTGGCTGCACAGGGAAGCCATCTTGGCTTGTTGATGGGAAGGATGGATCTTGATGAGGTTGAATATTTATATCTGCTAGTGTTTGATGACAGGGAGTATGCTTATCAAACTCTGAAGGAGTATACCCGGGATGAACTGCTAGAATGTATACGGCTCGCTCATGTTCTAGTAGATCAGGGCACAGAGTTCTCTGAGGAGGTGCAGCCTTTGATTGAGGTTTGTGCTGAGTTGGTTTCATCTGGTTCCCCCGAATGCAGGGATGAATTTTTGCCACCATTTAGTGCAGACCAGGTAGAGTCCCTGGTGTGGTTATTAGAGGATGATGTGGGTTACTTTCTGGAGCGTTATTCCACATGTTCACCACAGACACTAAGAGATTGTATAAACGCAGTACAGTCATTGACCAGACAGGCTTTGTGTAAGCTCAGCTTTGTTCAACCCATACTGCAGACATGGACAGATTTGTTGCACCCAGCCTCAGTCAGCTTACAAAGACCCAGTCCTGCTTCTAATCTATTTCCTCAAAACTCTATTCCTGCATTCCCAACAGCTCCTCCTGCCCTGCTATCTACCGCATGTCAGTACCCTGTTCCCACTCGCTGCACCTATCCTGCCTTTAACCCTGTAAAAGAGCCCTCTGTAGCAACCGCTCCCTCTCCTGTTCCATCCTCCAGTTCTTCTCTGTCTCCAGCTGCTCCATTCGTTTGCAGACCTGCGTTTACTTGCAGTGCTCCAGTAGTTTAAAAACCAAAAAAAGCGAAAATTCTTTCCAACCAAATACCATCCTGCCAGTATCCAAACCGGTGAGCCTGCCTTCCGTGGTTCAGCCTGAAGCCTCTACTCAGCCTGAAGCCTCTACTCAGCCTGATGCCTCTACTCAGCCTGAAGCCTGTACGCAGCCTGATGCCTCTCTTCAGCCTGATGCCTCTACTCGGCCTGATGCCTCTACTCGGCCTGATGCCTCTACTCGGCCTGAAGCCTCTACTCGGCCTGATGCCTCTACTCGGCCTGATGCCTCTACTCGGCCTGAAGCCTCTACTCGGCCTGATGCCTCTACTCGGCCTGAAGCCTCTACTCGGCCTGATGCCTCTACTCGGCCTGAAGCCTCTACTCGGCCTGATGCCTCTACTCGGCCTGAAGCCTCTACTCGGCCTGAAGCCTCTACTCGGCCTGAAGTCTCTACTCAGCCGGACGCCGGCATTCAGCCTGATGCCTCTACCCAGCATGATGAACTGATCCAGCCTGACGATCCTATTAGGCCAGTTGACTCGATGCCCGCTGTTGATCCAGATGATCCGGTTACCTGATCCGGTGCCCGCTGTCGAGCCAAATGACCTGATGCCTGGTGACCCATTGCCCGCTGTCATACCTGGTGACCCGATGCCCGCTGTCGAGCCAGACAATCCGGTACCTGATGACCCGGTGCTCACTGTCGTGCCTGTTGACTCGGAGCCCACTGCCTTGCCAGATGACGCGGTGCCCGCTGTCGAGCCAAATGACCTGATGCTGGTGACCCAGTGCCCGCTGTCCAGCCAGACGATCCAATGTCTGACCCAGTGCCCGCGGTCATACCAGTTGACTCGGAGCCCACTGCCTTGCCAGATGACGCGGTGCCCGCTGTCGAGCCAAATGACCTGATGCCTGGTGACCCGATGCCCGCTGTCCAGCCAGACGATCCAATGTTGACCCAGTGCCAGCGGTCATCCCAGTTGACTCGGAGCCCACGGTTGTGCCTGGTGACTCGGTGCCCGCCGCCCCGCCTGGGGGCCTGAGACCTGTCGTTCCGCCTGGGGGTCCGGCGCCCCCACTATCACTGCACATACCTCCGCCTGAGGGTCCGAGACCTGTCGCTCCGCCGCTGGGGGTCCGGCGCCCGCCGCTCCGCTTGAGGGCCCGAGACCTGTCGCTCCTCCTGGGGGTCCGGCGCCCGCCACTCCGCCTGAGGGCCCGAGACCTGTCGCTCCGCCTGGGGGTCCGGCGCCCGCCGCTCCGCCTGAGGGCCCGAGACCTGTCGCTCCGCCTGGGGGTCCGGCGCCCGCCGCTCCGCCTGAGGGCCCGAGACCTGTCGCTCCACTGGGGGTCCGGCGCCCGCCGCTCCGCCTGAGGGCCCGAGACCTGTCGCTCCACTGGGGGTCCGGCGCCCGCCGCTCCGCCTGAGGGCCCGAGACCTGTCGCTCCTCCTGGGGGTCCGGCGCCCGCCGCTCCGCCTGAGGGGCCGAGACCTGTCGCTCTGCCTGGGGGTCCGGCGCCCGCCGCTCCCGCCTGAGGGCCCGAGACCTGTCGCTCCATCTGGGGGTCCGGCGCCCGCCGCTCCGCCTGAGGGCCCGAGACCTGTCGCTTCCGCCTGGGGGTCCGGCGCCCGCCGCTCCCGCTGGGGGCACGATGCCTGTCGCCCCGCCTGGGGGCACGATGCCTGTCGCCCCGCCTGGGGGCCCGATGCCTGTCGCCGCCCCTCCTGGGGGGGGCCCGGCGCCCGCCGCCCCGCCTGGGGGACCCGACGCCGGTCGCCTCCGCCCGGGGGCCCGGTGCCTGCTGCTCCGCCCGGGGGCCCGGTGCCTGCTGCTCCGCCCGGGGGCCCGGTGCCTGCTGCTCCGCCCGGGGGGCCCGGTGCCTGCTGCCCCGCCCGGGGGCCCGGTGCCTGTCGCCCCGCCCGGGGGCCCGGTGCCTGCTGCTGCCCTGCCCGGGGGCCGGTGCCTGCTGCCCCGCCCGGGGGCCCGGTCGCCCCGCCCGGGGCCGGTGCCTGCTGCTCCGCCCGGGAGCCCGGTGCCTGCTGCTCCGCCCAGGGGGCCCGGTTTGCCTGCTGCTCCGCCCGGGGGCCCGGTGCCTGCTGCCCCGCCCGGGGGCCCGGTGCCTGCTGCCCCGCCCGGGGGCCCGGTGCCTGCTGCTCCGCCCGGGGGCCCGGTGCCTGCTGCCCCGCCCGGGGGCCCGATGCGTCGCCCCGCCCGGGGGCCCGGTGCCTGTCGCCCCGCCCGGGGGCCGGTGCCTGCTGCTCTGCCCGGGGGCCCGGTGCCTGCTGCCCCGCCCAGGGGCCCGGTCACCCCGCCCGGGGGCCCGGTGCCTGCTGCTCCGCCCGGGGGCCCGGTGCCTGCTGCTCCGCCCGGGGGCCCGGTGCCTGCTGCTCCGCCCGGGGGGCCGATGCATGTCGCCCCGCCCGGGGGCCCGGTGCCTGCTGCTCCGCCCGGGGGCCCGGTGCCTGCTGCTCCGCCTGGTAATCCGATGTGCCTCTGCCCGGCGTCCTGCCCGATGTGCCTCTGCCCGGAGTCCTGCCCGATGTGCCTCTGCCCGGAGTCCTGCCCGATGTGCCTCTGCCCGGTAGTCCTGCCCGATGTGCCTCTGCCCGATGTGCCTCTGCCCGGTAGTCCAGCCGGTGTGCCTCTGCCCGCAGTCCAGCCCGGTGTGCCGCTGCCCCGGAGTCCTGCCCGGTGTGCCAGTCTTTGATATCCCCCCAGTTTACCAGACCTGGGCGGTGGAACATTTTGCCCAGCTAGGACTGTTTGGAGCGTCCTGAGGCCGCTCCTTGGGGGGGGGGGTACTGTTAGGATGGACTGGCCAGCAATGGTGGGACTCACCTGCCTTTTGATCTGCAGTACCAGGGCTGGCCAGCGGTGTGCTCCCAGCAATCAGAGACTCAACCTTTCAGCCAGCTAAACACCTGGAACTGATGATGCTGGGGTATTTAAGGGATGGCCAGACCCACAGACTCGGCCTTGGTGTTGTGTTTGTCCTGGGCCCTGTATCTGTCCTGCATCCTGTTTCTGTCCCTCTGCCTGACCCTCTGTACTACGCTGCTTGTTACCTGTTTTGATCTCTGGCTTGTGACCCTGACCATCCCTCTGCCTGACCCTCTGTACTACGCTGCTTGCTACCTGCTGAACCTGGCCTGTGACCCCGACCATTCTCTGCTTGCTCCCCCATGTACGTACCTGCCCAATTGATGATATTGACCTGGCCTGCCTGACGACGCTTGCTTGTATGTATGTACTGTTATCTGTGGGTGGTTTGGTTTGTTTGCACTGTATTATGTTTAGTATTGCACTGCGTTTATGTTTGTATGGTTAGTGTTAATAAATTGTATTGTTTATCACATATCTGAAGTCTGCTCGTTTTCCCTGCATCAGTCACACACCTCTAGTCATACCTGGGAGCCCTGACAGGGGTTTCTATCGGCCAGGACTGCCCATAGGCGGTGCGGAGTTTCTTTTTTCTGCCTAGTGTCCTACTCCTGTAGCTGGTGATATAACCCTATGGTCAAGAATTATAGATGCTGTGTTCATCAATGAATGAAAGAAAAAATACTTTACCTTTTATAAGGTAAATTAAGAAACCTTTTCAAAGAACTCAAAAAACCCTTCATTAGTAAAGCCTTTTACACACAGGCCAAATGTCAGCCAGTTCAACAGAAATTGGCCTACATTTGGCCCATGTGTACAGCAGCCTGTTCGGATTCTGTTGAATGGGCATGCTGGAAAAACAGCAGCCAATCAACAATCGATTAGCGCTTGTGAGTGCTGACTGGTGCACTCTGGTGGAGGATGCAGTCCCCCTGTCAGAACACAATAGTACAGCGAGGAGATCGCTGTACTAACATCGCATAGTTATTACAGTGAGAAACTTTTTTTTCGCTCAGACTGCTGGGTCGAAAAAACAAAAACAAAAATGTACCGTGTGTAAAAGACTTTAGGGAAACAGAGTAACTAAAACAAAGCTCATAACACCAGAGATGTAAAAGTGAAGGTAGAAGGAGGCCTTGTGAAAAAGAAAAGCTTCCTTTAGAAAAGCATAGTTCCATAAGTAATTTTGCAAGGTCTAATGTGGAAGGTTAAAAACAGCCTGCATGAGGAAGGAGGAATCCTCCACAAACTAATCTAAGTTTTCATAACCTAGGTAATGTTCAAGACTAAACCTGCGTTGAGGTCAGGAAATCATTTCTGGCCTTCAATATCAAAAGGTATGGATCCATTTAGTGGAGTGGCAATAGGTCCATAAATCTTTTTGAGCAGGATGTGACACAGAATTAACTGTGTTAGGGGAGGAGGCACATATCCTATACTCTAGGCAATAATGGATATGTTGTCCAAGCCATTCTATAATTTGCACCATAGATCAAGAAATTGTTGCGTATGCGATGAAGAAAGACAAAATCGAGTAAGTTTGCTGACTCCAGTTAGCCTCCAGGAGAGAGGTGGAGATTACTTATTGTGTTTTAACGGCTAACTGGAGAAAAAAGGCATAACTACACTGAAAAGACTCCATCAAAAAACCACTTCAGTCCCAGTGACATACCGGTACGTCGCAGGGTTGAAGTGGTTATAACCAGATGATGCTTGCAGCTGCAGGCTTCATCACGGTATCATGTTTTTCAGCCAGCGATGCCATTTTTACTAAAAGCAATCCTACTGGTAATGCTAGTGTCTTCTGGGGCTCTCCCATCCCACCAGGGAGCCCGGGGACTAAAGTCAGCAGTTCGGCCTAGTCTAATAGACCCCAGATCTCTCAATAAAGAATACCTGTCAATGCCCATGCTAAAACGAGGGATGTTGTTTATCCATTGTGATAGCAATAAAATGCCCATGCTATCACAAGAGATGTTGTTCATCTGTTGTAATAGCAATAAAAGTAGTAATAATAAAAAAAATGCATATGTAGGCCAAGCGCATAATGTTTAGGGGTCCTAAGTAAGTTTCTAGCAACAAAATACTGACTTTTTACATGTAGGAGAGACATGTCAGAATTGGTCTGGTCTTAATGTGAATAAATGATCAAAAAACTGTATATCCCAGCTAGGGCTGGTAGAGTTTGATGGTTCAGAATCTCAGGGAAGACTCCGTATTTTTGGAAGGGGTTAACATTTCTGATCTACCTTATATAACAAGGATCAGGGTAAGGAAGATACTGTATAAAAACATTCCTTGGCAATTTGATATGAAGTTGAGAAAAGGTTTTGGGCATATCTAGAAGCTTTGACTGGAATGCCTCAATTATTGGTGGAATTATGTGGAATCACCCAGAAGTCTGAGTGTGAGGGAAAATTAGAATCTTACTAAAAGAAATCTGACTTTTTGGGGGCCTAAGTAAGGATAAGCTTATTACAGATAGGGCTCTTTAGCATTGAGACCTTGGGAGGTAGTACGTAACCCAGGCATTATCTTTCCAAGTAGTCTTACTGATTATTATTATTATACAGGATTTATATAGCACCAACAGTTTGTGCAGCGCTTTACAAAATGAAGGTAGAAATTACAGTTACAATACAATTTGGTACAAGAGGAAACAGAGGGCCCTGCTCGTTAGAGCTTACAAGCTAAGACAGAATTATACTGAAGGCTTTTTGTGTTTTTTGGGTAGAGAAGTCTACCTACATCAAGAAACTTGTATGAGTGCCTGTAGTGAAAAAATTCAAGTTACTCCAGGAAGTAACCAAATGAACCTGAATAATTTGTTAGAAAAAAGAAAAAAGAAAAAAAAAAAAGAAAAAAAAAGGGTGTATAAAATGGTTCTCTTAGTCATAAGATTCACAAACCATAAAAGGTATCCTGTATAAAAGATATTTG